AGTTCCTCTAGCGTGGCTCCATTTTAAAGTGGATCTATGTATTTTTGTTTTAACAGTACACCTATTGTGGTAGTCAGCGTCCAAAATGACCCCCAAAAGTCCTTGCCTCTTCTATAGTCTCTCAAATTGAATTGAAGCTAGACTGTGTAACCAATAATGTATGGTAGAAATGCCATTGAATGACTTCTGAGGCGAGGCTCTAAAAGGCATTACAGCTTCCCCCTTGTCCTCTTAGATCACTCTTTTGGGTGGAAGCCAGCCTTTGTGCTATGTCACTTGAGCAGCCCTGTGGAGAGGGCCACGTGCAGAGGAACTATGGCCTCCTGCCAACAGCCAGTACCAACGAGCCAGCCCTGCGAGGGAGCCACACTGAATATGGATCCCCCAGATCCAACCAAGCCTCCAGATGACTGAAGCCTCATGAGATCCCCAAGCCAGAACGATCTGGCTAAACTGCTCCTGAATTCATGACCCATAGAAGCTGTGCCAGTTAGTAAAGATTTATTGTTTTAAGCTGCTACATCTTGAGGTAACTTGTTATGTATAAATGTAAGTAATACTTAGTATAACTCCTATTTTACTAAAAAAGAAATATAGAGCCCTGGCTAGAATGGCTCAGTGGATTGAGTGCGAGCCTGCAAACCAAAGGGTCAGTGGTCCGATTTCTAGTTAGGGCACATGCCTGGGTTGCAGGCCAGGTCCCGAGTGCAAGGCGCCTGAGAGGCAGGCACACATTGATGTTTCTCTCCTTCTTTTTCTCCCTCCCTTCCCCTCTGTCTAAAAATAAATAAAGACAATCTTTAAATAAATAATAAAATTTAAAAAAGCATATAGGGCCACAAGCTTGTGAGCAAATAGCTCACAGGATATACAGAGGGAGGAACTGGGTTCTGACATAGTGGGTAAAGAAGGGATATGTTCACTTATTATACACTCTTATAGTCTCAGATGTATAAAAATAAACCACATTATTTTTATTATTTTAAAGTGTTTACTTTTTAAAAACTTTAAGCCAGTGATAAGAGAGATAAGCCACAATAGTGGCCCTTCCTAAGCTTTCTTAGCCTTTGTTTTCCTAGACTTTTTCCACCTCCTGAGACCTAGCTTTGAAATAGGCTATCCTTTAAAGGCCTTTGAGTAAGCCAAACACTGGAGGACTGGTTGTTTTTGCTTTTAATTGATGCATTTCAGTGAGAACATCAACCCCATGACAGGACTGCTGCTAAGGCAGAAATTCTCATTTAATTATTTTCATTTAATAAAGGCCATAATGTTGCAGTAACTCTTTGTGGGATGAATGAATGAACCACTCACACTACTGCTAAGTGCTCATGGTTTCCTTGGTGTTCATGATGGAGCCCACAGGCTGGGGCTGTAGTTTCTGCAGAAGAAGATGACCCATAACTCTGGTTCTCAGAGTTTATTTATTATTTACTGGTGCCTAATTTCTCACCAATAAAGACAGATAGATGCTGGGAAATAATCCACAGGTTGACCAACTGGTAGAGTCAAGGGCAGCTTATACCCATATCACAGAATTCTTCATACTATCCCCTCAGTAAAGACATTTCCAGGGAGAAAAAAATAAGGACATTTGCAAAGAATGACTTCAATTATTTACATTTAAATGGAACTCAGTGAAAGGCCAAGGCTTGAATAAAATGCAGGACTAATTCCTCGGGGTTTTGTTTTCGTTTTTTAATTTCAGAATTCGGAGTGGGGGGTAGACTAGACACATGCTTTTGACTAGTGTATCAGAAAATTCTCTTTTAAGACTCCAAACTCTGTAGCACAAACCCATAATACAAATCAATGAGACAGAGGGTCAGCAATGACAAACTGTACCTTTGATTTGGTGATATAGTCATTCCACTCCTCTCATGGGCATCCAAAGGCTTCAAGTTACAGGAACAAAGATGTAATCACTGAACTATGCATACTGATGAGATTATAGTTCCAGGATTTATGAAATTGAGATAACCAGGAAATTAATTACGTCTGAAACTCCTGCTGCAAAGAACCATAACATACAAGGAAATGCCTAGTAAAACAATTCCAGTCAAGTAATTTTACCGTGTCCTGCATAGTGGGTCGCATATACCTTCACTTTCAAATTGAGCGAACACTCTTAGTAAACAAGGCCAGTGGAATGCAAAATATTCAAACTTTGAGATAGTTTAGAAAAATCAGACCACAATAAGGCAGCTAACACAAAAGCAAAGACAACCACATCTAGGGCACTTCTCTGCTCAGAACCAGAGTTCCACATACATCCTCTGGGGAGGAAGTCAGGTAGACCAGAGGCTTCATAATCACTTCTCAAAGGTACAAGAAACAAAAATAAGGTGAAAGGTTTTGCTTCCACCAAAACCATTTTTATGTTGTATTTCTCAAGTCATTTCTTTTACACCTCTTAATGTAGATTCAAAGACTTGGTAAAAACGAACCAAGACAAATACTTCATCTTCAATACAGTAATGATTAAGTCATGATTATTCATACATGGAGTACTGCTCAGTCTTTAAAAATGTGTAATATCCATATGAACTGATTGAGAACTTGACATATATAGCACATACATATATTTATATACACATACATATTCATTCTTATTTTAATCCATTCATTCTTATTTGGAGGGTAGCAAAGGATAATAGTTTATATATTTCTGTTGTTTGGCTTTTTTTTAGCATGTTTTATGAAATGACAAATAAAGAAATGGCAAATACCACTGGACCACCTCATAGAACACCTGCAGGGCCTATGAGCCATTTGTTTCTGCTCCCTTTTATTCCATCTATATCCACCATCTTTTGCTTTCTTACCATGGCTCGGTGGGTTGGGTGTCATAACACAAGGCAAAGGATCGCCGGTTCAATTCCCGGCCAGGGCACATGCCTTGGTTATGGGCCATGTCCACAGTTGGGGGCATACTTGGGGGTGTGCGAGAAGCAACCGATTGGCCCCCACAAAACTGCTAGGAAGCTCAATGCAGAGAAAACAAGAAGGCAAGCAGGATACAACTGACACAGAAGTGAAAGGGGGCAAAGACAGAATTGAGATCTCATTAGCAGATGGGGGAATAATAGCAATAATGCCACATAACATATAAGTGCATAAATGTGCCGAATGTTTAATCCCAATAATTCAATGAGAAAGGAATTATTATCCTCATTTTACAAATGAGGAAACTGAGACACAGAAAAGTATCTTCTCTATCTTCTCTAAGTTAACAAAACAAAGAAATGATGGAGTGAGCATTCAGCGCTGCCTGGCAGCTCAGAACTTGCACTCTCAGCCACTAAGCTGTGCTGCTTCAAACAAATTAAAAGAATGAGGATCCCCCCACCCCCCCCGCAATCAGATTGATAAAATTTTTAAAAATTGATAGATCAAATATTGATGAGCTTTTCAGGAAACAGGTACAAGTGCGCTTTTTGGTAGAAGTATAAATTACTAAATGCAAGAGTTACGAAAATATAAAATTTTTAAATAGGTATCTAACTTTTGGCCACTCCACTTCCAGGAACTCATTGTACAGGGACACTTACAAAAATGTTTACACGCAGACCCGATGCAGCACCATTTTAATGGGGGGTGGGAGCCATAGGGAGGGAAATGACTAAATACATCACAATATATTCAAAATATTAGATAGTCTGTATCTTTTCAAAACGAAGACCAACTTATAGATGAAAACATGGAAAGGATTCTGAAATGCAAGTAAATGAAAAACAAGTATAACAGAACAATATGTACAATATGGTCCTATTTATGTAAAAATAAGGAGTGAACATCTCATCATTTCTTCTTAGAAGAATAATATTGCTTCCTTTTTTTACACTCCTTCCCTCAAATAGATATACATACACACACGCAATTCAGAAAGAAGTTGTAAAAAAAAGTCATGTTATTTATAAATCATACAATAAAATAATTATTTCAAAAACTCGCAAATACAAGCTGTATAAAGTCAGCTTGGAATCAAGTACCTCTTAGATATTTTACGGCAAATCACATCTTTTTTAGTGTTCTTTCCCAGAAAGATGTGGTTCAAATCCAGTGAAGTCTTATTAATTTCATACATAGCAACAAAGGAACAAAATTGACAATAAATAATTTCTTAAAATACTACGTAGTAAATTCTATTTCTAGTTACGAAACTCAGGCTACCTGAAGACTTCGCTGAAGTCGGTAAAGTTACACAAAATTTGTATTTTCATGTTTAAAATCCTCGCTGTTTTTTCCTCAGTGATAATGATACATATAAAAGTTCAAGATTAATAAAGAAATTGAAAGACCCAGTAAGTCAACAAACCAATTTCATTATAAGTGGAACATAAGAGAGACACAAAGCATTCTGTTTGCTTCTCTTTTTAAAAGTGGAAGCAGCAGCCAGGCCAGTGGTTCACAAACCTGGTGTGTGTGAGCATCACACAGCGGCTTGTTAGAATACAGGTCCCCAGGCCCTGTTCCCACACTCTGACCTCCATTCCTGAGTCTGACAAACCTGCATTTTTAAATAAGATCCACCATGATTTCGATGAGTTTGGTACAAGAAGCCCACTGACCATTTTAATTCTGCTGTCCAATCCTAATTCGATGCCATTTGCTGAAAGCCTGACTCTGGGCAGCTCCTTCGCCTCTTCTGTTCTCATCTGTCAAGTCAGCCAATAGGACTGTTCATCTCTGAGGGCCCGTAAGCCCTAATAAGACTGTTATTAACCCCCAATGTAAAAGAAATGTTGTTTCAGCTAAGAATTTAGTCTTCACACCAAGACCAGTTCTTGCAAATCACTGGGTTTCTGGTTGTTTGCCACCTTCTAAAAAGCACACTTCTTGCTTCTACAAGTTCCATTTCTAGGAGCATCTGAGCACAGGAATTCTGAGACTTACATTTGTGTTCATTTGGTGGATTTTCCTCATGCATACAGGGAAGCTTCCAGCAATCCTGAGAGGTGCTGCATATACATGGTATGTGAAAAAGACCTACTTGGTTAGGAAACAACAGAAATATCCCCGTAACATTAAGCAAGCTCCAAATCCTCCTGCGAGACTTCCATTGGAGGAGCTGGAATACTCAATAGGAGGTTTTAATGGTAGTTGAACTTGAAGAGTAAGAGCTGGATTTCCTGGAGGATTTCTTTGATATGAGGGATATTTGCATCCGCTTTACTGTACGGACACTTCGACAAAGAAGAGCATTCTTTGCATGATTCCTAAAGTCTTCTGAAACAAAGTAATAGACAAAGGGGTCGATGCAGCTGTTGAGGGTGGAGAGGCAGAGGGCTACAATGTACAGGGCGTAGACATGGCTCTGGCCCCAGTTTTTAATCATGAAATAATGTACTACAAGCAGAAGGTTACTAGGAGTGAAGCAGATCAGGTACATGACCAGGACAGTGACAATAAGTTTGATGGCTCTCTTCCTCTTCTTTCCTGAGTTTTCATCGATGGCAGAAGACTGAAGTGTTCTGATCATCAGCACATAGGCAGAAGCCATAAGGATGGCTGGGAACAGAAAGACTCCAATGGCCAGAGACAGGAAATAATTGAACATGTCCCCCACCAGCACCTCCTTCGGTAAAACATCATGACAGGTCGTGATGTTAAGGGCTGGAATGTAAGCGGTCTGCTTCACGACATACAAAGGGATGGTAACCAGCAAAATCAGCAGCCATATCCCTAGGGAGATACCGATGGCGATGTTTGCATTCTTCTTGGTGTGCACCATGGGGTTCACAATAACCCAGTACCTCTGTACGCTGAGGCAGGTCATGAAGAGAATGGAGCAGTACATGTTGCCATAGAAAAAACCAATGAGTACCTTGCAAAGAGATTCCCCATAAATCCAGTTGTTGCCATGTATGTGATAGGCAATCTTCAAAGGTAACCAGATGATAGAGAGGAGGTCTGCCAAGGCCAGACTGGCCATGTAAACCACAGCAGGGTGCTTCTTCTTTGTTCGGAAAAGAAAGACCCACAGGGCCATGCCATTACTCGGCAAACCAACCACAAATACAATCATGTAGACAATTGGAAGAAAGACAGTAGTCAGTTTTCCAGTGAGGACGGAGGCAGAAAACTCATCCACAGAAAATCTTGGTTCCACTGTAACTCCTTCCCCAGGGATGTGAGATGAGCCATCAATCTTACCAATTAGACTTCTTCCTTTACTGGATCTATTGACTCCTGCACAAGAAAGGCAAGACAAGGGTCATTACTGAAATCAACGTTTCAGCGGTAATGCTGGTATGGTCAAGTACAAGCACTTTAATTTAGATAAAGACAGAAGGAATACACGGAACGCTTACAGTGGCTTTCCTAGGGCGATTGGATTGGTGGGATTCCTACTGCTTGGTGTTTGTTTCCTTGTTTGGTTTTTCAGAATTTTTTTTTTTTAAATTGGAGGGTTGTGTAGTATATGTACAATATAACATTGATTTCTATGAATCTCAATAAAACTGATAGTATTCAGTTTATTTTTACAAGCTGTCTATACCCAATAATTCCTAACCGTCCTTATGATGGCCATCTCACTCTGGCGGAGGTGGCCTGCCAGCTATGCCTTCTCCAAACACCTGACAGAGGGAGAGACTCCCAGGAGCACAAAGGACATTCCCTCTCCGCCAGCAAGGATAATTTCAGCCATGACAGGGATTCCCCCCACTTCTGTGTGGGCCTTCTAGAGACCTTCCCAAATTTGTGAACATGGCAACTTTAACTTATGCCCTCATCCCCCTTATTATAAACTAAACTTTAGAAACCACAAACAAATGAATGACGTATTCAGTCTACAACCTGCCCCACACAAGTGTCCGTGGACCTGCAGAAGAAAATGAGGGACAATCTGAGGACACTGAAGAATCTCACTGTAATTCTGGGGAAGAGCAGGCCTTCCGCCATGCAGAGAAAACAGGGCCAAGTATAGCACAGTTGGCCCAGGAGGATGTTAAACCAGTTTATCTGATAATTTTCATGCTTAGTCACCACTTTTTCCTTGTCTAACTCTGCACCTGTGTTCAGCAGGATGCGTAGCTGGCCTGAGTGGAGGGTTAGAAGGTGTGGAGATCAATACTTTTTCACTTAGTGTAGAAGGTTGAAAGGTGTCCCCTAAGAGGTATGTCCGTGTCCAAATCCCTAGAATTTGTGATCACTACATTATTTAGAAAGAGGGTTTTTGTAGATGTAATGAAGGATCTTCATATGAGATCATTCTGGATTATCCAGGTGGGCCCTAAATCCAATGGCAAGTGTCTTATAAGAGAAAGGCAGAGGGAAGAGGAGGAGAGGTGTGAAAAGGGAGACAGATCAAAGTAATGCTGAGAAATAAGCCAAGGAATGCCAACAGCCCCCAGAAGCTAGAGGGGGCAAGGAATGGATTCTCCCCTTGGGACCTTCAGAGAGACGACACCTTGGTTTCAAACCTTTGGCCTCCACAACTTGTGAGAGAGCAAAGTTCTGTTGTTGAAGCCACTGTTTTTTGGTAATTTGTTATAGCACAGGAAATGAATAGGATAGACCTATGTCTTGTTCCTATTTCTTTTATAATTTTTGAAAGAACATAAATTATTTTAAATGAAAATAATAATCTTACACATTACAGCGTTCTTCATACACTTGACTATAACTCATAGTAAGAAACATACCCTGTATGATAACCCAGTTCCAATACAAATATCCATATTAGAAAGGTAAGTTTCACAAAATAATGATTACCCTTATAATGCAGGAAACACTCTGATACTTTCCATTATGTCCTATTCCATTCTCATAAAAAGCCAATCACCACCCTCTGCATTGATTTCATGAACCACTTACATGGTTTCCAAAACCAGGTAACAGGGTGACTAATTGTGATGCACCCCAAGAGAACAGTACTGATTTATTTACAGATGGGTGAGGTGTCTGTGGAACTCACCTCAAGCCCCCAAATGGTAAGCGGTCCCTCTATAACATTGTAAGTTTCTTTAATTCTAGGGCTGTGTCATAATTCCTTTATGGTCCTCACAGCCCTTGGCATAGCCCTTGACATAGATGTTCCACGCACCTGCGATGGAAGGACATGCTCTGCAAGCCACACCAAAGGTGGAAGGGAGCCCTCCGCCCATTTCTTTAGGGCCCCAGCAGGGCCCCGTCAGCAACAAAACCACACAGCCCCCAGCAGGGGGTTACAAGAGCACAGCTCCACAAAAAAACTACCTGACTACCAGTAAACACTAATTTTTTTTTTAAAAGGTTTTATTTATTTTTAGAGAGAGGGGAGGGGAGGGAGAAAAAAAGGGACAGAAACATCAATCAGTTTCTTTCCGGGCCTAAACCCACAACCCACGCCCACAACCCAGTCACAGGCCCTGGCCAGAATGGAGCCAGCGGCCTTTTGTTTTACTGAGGCCGCCCAGTCACCTGAGCCACACCGTTCTGGGCAATGCTAACTTTTTTTTTTCAAGACTTCAGCTTTTTATTGGACTTGTCACAAAAAGCTTTAGTCAAAAAGACCAAAGCCTGGTGTCATCACTAGGCTCCTCAGATTCTTCTTTGTTTCCACTTTCTTCTCAACTGGGTGGAGGAGCAGTGATGGAGGGTCCGGACCCCCTGCTCAGGCAGGTCCCCCAACCTCTACATTGTAGCCTGGGCTCCCAGTGTTGACATTGGCCAGAGCCTTTGCAAACAAGCCTGGCCACAAAAGTTCACGATTTATACAGACTGTTCTAACGAGGGCTTTGATCTTATCCTGTGTCACTCTCACCTCATCATCCAGTAGGATAAGAGCCAAGTAGAAACAGGTGAGCTCCAAGGCAGAGGTGATGGTATGTGTGGGCAAGCGCTGTGGGACACAGGACTAGTTGCCAGGTGAAGCGAGGGCCTCACCCCAATGTGGCCTTAGCTTCTTTGGAAGGACTGAGCTGGGAAAAATGGGAGCATTAATGCTTTATAAGGGCTCACCTCATATGTGTCTGGCATTGCTTTCAACACTTGACATGCATTAACATTTCATTTTCACAACCTTATGGTGTAGGGACTCATTAGATCCTCATTTCATAGGGGCAGAATCTGAAGCACAAAGAAATTGAGTAACTTTCCCAAGGTAAAACAATTGTTAGGAAGAATTGTCAGGATTCAACCCTTGCCTCTCCATTTCTAGAATCCGTGGTTCTAACTCTATGCCACACTGTACCTGAGGTCCTGACCTGAGGTTACATGATGGAGTTCATGGAGATAAGCATAACTTGTGCTAATTCCTCACATCTTCTCAAACAGAAAAAATTTTTAAAAATATTTTATTTATTTATTTTTAGAGAGAGGGGAACTGAGGGAGAAAGAGAAGGAGAGAAACATCCATGTGTGGTTGCCACTTGTGCACCCCGCACTGGGGACCTGGCCCACAACCCAGGCATGTGCCCTGACTGGGAATAGAACTGGTGACACCTTGGTTTGCAGGCCAGCACTCAATCCACTGAACCACACCAGCCAGGGCTCAAACAGAAAATTCTAAATGTAAAGGTTTACAATTTAAAAACCACCCCCTTTAAGTAAGCCCTTCCTCCAATAATTTACATATTTATTTGTATTAATATCCACAAGTTCTGGAAGGCTTTCAGAGGTTAAGAGAATCCTGTAAATTCTCCATCCATCCCAGAATTGTTCACCAGCTCTCCAGAGAGGGGTGTGGCAAGGCTGGTAACTATGAGTAGTAGATTAATGTTCTGAGAAACTTGTCATTTGAAGAGCTAGGATATCCCTAGAAGCAGCCCACCAGAGACAAATTCAATGAGTTAGCCTACATTTCTGCAGGACATAAAGCCACCAAGATTTTAGAATTATTACAAGGAAAATCCATTTTTCTTCCTTCAGTATATCTATTTTAAAGGTTATAGCGCTTGCTTTATAAAATGAAGGAAAATCTAGGCTTTGATTGTTCAGTTACTAACATCACAAAAAATAATAACCAGACATTGTGTGTCTAAGGGAAGCAGCAGCTGTGAAATAACCTTGCAAAAACCTCAAAACAACAAAAGCTAAATTTGATCAAGCAGCTCTATCTGACCCCATTTTAATGGAAAGAAAGGGGACAATGGAGCATATTAAATAGTACTGCAAGAATGTACTCAGCAAAATCTGGACTTTGGAAACTGCTACAGGAAAAAGGACCTGGCTTCTTCCGAACAAATTACAAGGCAAAAATAAAGAGAAAGAGATGTGAAAGGAAACATATAGATTAAAAGATTTAAAGGCCATAGATTAAATTATACCTGGATTTATTTCAAAAAACCACAATGATTGGAACTCTGAGACACTACTGTAGGAATGTGAAATGTTACTGCTGCTGTGGAAAAATTGCATCAGTTCCTCAAATGATCAGACAGAGAGTTACTATGTAACCCAGCAATTCCTACTCCTAGGTATACACAGACAAATGAAAGCATATGTCCACACAAAAACTTGTACATAACTGTTCACAGCAGCACTATTCATAACAGCCAAAAAGTGGAAATAACCCAAATGACAATCAACAAATGAATGGATAAACAAAATGTGGTATATGCATACAATAGACTCTTACTTTACAATAAAAGGAAGTACTGATACATGCTACCGTACAGAGGAGCATGAAAAGACTATGAGAAGTGAAAAAAAAGTTACAAAGGAACATGTATTCTATGATTCCATTCATATTAAATGTCCTGAATAGGCCCATACATAGGCAAAAATAGATTAGTGGTTGCCAGGGGCTGGGAAATGAGGAGATGTAGTAAGTGTGCTAAAGTTTGCCCTGACTAGTGTGGCTCAGTTGGTTGCCGTCATTCCACAAGGTGAAAAGTCACCAGTTCAATTCCTGGTCAAGGCACATGCCTGGGTTGCTGGATCAGTCCCCACTGGGTTTCTCTCTCACATTGATGTCTCCCTCCCCCTCTCTCTCCCTTCCTCTCTAGAATCAATAGAAAGAAAAAAAAATTCTTAAAAAAAATGGTGGTCTCATAAAATTGGCAGAGCTGAAAAATTCCTTCACCTAATGACACCATAGTGCAATGCATGGCTCACATTTGCAGTGATACTGGTGTAAACAAACCTACTGCACTGCCAATGGTATAAAAGTAGAATTATGCACATAGAATTATGTACAGTACCTACTACTTGATAATGCTAATAAACGACTGTTACTAGTTTACATATTTACTATATTATACTTTTTGTAATTTTAGAACATAGTCTACTTATTAAAAAAGTTTGCTGTAAAACAGTATGCTGTGTTATACCAGCAGCAGCCTTATACATTTTGTTTATTGCATCTCTTGATTGCATCATTTTCTCTTGTGCTTAATTTAATCTGGTGTTGTTTTGTATAGTAACATGCTGTGTGGGTTTGTAGCCTAGGAACAATAGGCTGTATCAGGTAGCATAGGTGTGTAATAGGCTACAACATGTAGGTTTATGTAAATGCCCTCTATGATGTATGAACAATGAAAAAATGGCCTGGTGACACATTTCTCAGAAAGTCTCCCCATCATTAAGTGGTGCATGACTGTAGTGCAATAAATTATGACCTTTATACAATGAATAATATTCCTCCTATAAAAGTATGGACAGGCTGCCACTGCTGTGTTTTCCTTATGCACCGGTGTCTGGACATTTGTCCCTGCTAATGATGGTGGCTGTGTTGCTTTCTGGTAGAGGTGTGGAACTGGTGGCTGGGGCCCCAGGGCTGGGATGAACCATGCTGTCCATGGAGGTTGGGGAGCCAAGCGGAGCAGGAGCCACGGCCACTACAGAGCAATCAGTTGGACTGACAATTGCAGCTGTAGAATTTGCAGACCATTACCTTTACAAGCCACAATGTATGTGGAGCCTCAAGTCAAACAAGTTTTTCAAAGTCTACCAAAATCTGCCTTCAGTGGTGGCTATGACAGAGAGGGGTCTGAACACACAATGACAAAACGGGAAGCAGCATTAACACTAGGTGTAAGCTCTACTGTCAAATAAAGGAAAAATAAGAGATGCTTATCGACAAATTATGCTTTTAAATTACCCATACAAGAGGGGATCTCCTTATATAGCAGCCCAAATCAATGAAGCTAAAGATTTACTAGAAGGTAAAACAAAAAAAATGAAGTAAATGTGTGGTGAATTTTGAGTTATTAGTTTATGAATATGAGTACCAGTTTTTTAATAATAAAATGCCTCAAAGCTATAAATTTTAAAAATAATTTAGCACAAACTAAATCAAAGCCTTGATATAAATTTCCTGTTGAAGTTTGAAGATTTTAAATCAGATTATAGACTATTTGGAGATTAATGCTCAATAATTATGGATAAATACATACCATTTAAACAGAAATATTGTTCATTACTCATTTAGCAAATAATTTGGTATCTACTTTGAGGCAAAGTCAACATGACAATCTAATGGGAGACTGATAAACTGGTAAGTAAAATACAATGTGATAAATATTATGATGGAATTGGTCCGTATTCATCTCACTGGGAGGAAAGGCTGTCAAGATATAGAGAGCTAGCTGGTTCAACTGCTTGGAACCTTGAATATAAAAGCAAATTTAGCTCCCAAAATATCGTCTCAAAAGAACCTATACACCCCAATGTTCATAGCAGCACTATACACGATAGCCAAATGTTGGAAACAGCCTAAGTGCCCATAAGTAGATGAATGAATTAAAAAACTGAGGTAAATTTACAAAATAGAATACTATGCAGCAGAAATAACTGGAGACTATTATGCTTAGCGAAATAAGCCAGTGGGTGAAAGGCAAACACCATATGATCTCACTTATAAGAAGAATCTAATCAAAATAAACTAATGAGCAAAACAGAATCAGAGCATTTGTACAATTTTGAAAAAATGTGTATAAAACTTTTAACTTTCCAAGCACTTTGTTTTTTTAAGCAATCCTCACTGAACCAAGTATAAAGCAAGTACCTGACTGGTGTTAACCCTCATCTTGTATCCTTTTCCCTACTATTTCCTCGCTTCAAATCTTCTTTTGTTCCCAAACTTTGGGAGCGGAGACTGAAAAATAAAAAGCTTTGGTTGCCAAGTATCTCTTCCTAGGTAGGTACACTTTAGTAAATTCTTATGTGTTCTTTCAGGATGAACTGTTTTCCTCTCAACACTTGCCCAGCTAATAAAAAAAGCTTAAGAAAGTCAAAAACAGACTTCACTAAAACATCACCTATCAAGGTTAACTAGTAACTACAAGGCAAGCTGGGAAACGAACACAAATTTAAAATCCCATCTTCACATTCATTATAGCATTCTCTCTTATTACAATACATTGGAAATACCTATGTGCCTAGCAACAGAGAACCAATTTAGAAAGCATGATACATACATCCTCCTACATTTTAGTCGTTTAAAATGTTTCATAATTACTAACATGCTACTTATATATTTATATAAGCCCAGGCTTGGACAAAAAGATTTTGTATATTTATGAATACGTATTTTATGCATAGATGCATGAAAGCATGGGAAAGGACCTATACTGAAATGCGAGCAGTGGTTACTTGAATACTTAATTGAATTCTTCCTTTTTTCCCCCTCACTTTTACCCTACAGTGCTTACATATTACTTGTATCATTAAAAATCAATAACAAAGACAATGGAAGTTTCGGTCTCTGAAAGAAAAAAATAGTATGATTATCATAGGGGACCTCCTAGGCCTGTGAGATAGTAGAAAGTAAAAAGTGCCTGAAAGAAGCTGATTTAAATGACCAGTTGCCATCAACCACCATGTCACTCTGGGCAAATCCCTTCACTTCATTCCTCATTTACTCTTTACTGAGGTCCTTTAGGTAATGACTGTGCTGGACCATGGCAATGGAGACGACGAGCCGGCCCCTGGCCTCTGAGAGTCCACAATCCAGTGGGGAGACAACCTAACATATTTACACAAATAATTATCAGTTACTGTTGTGACAGGAAAGAAAGCAAAGTCCGAGGGAGTATTTTCCTTGCACCCCCGCCCTCCACCAATTCAGTGGGCTGCATCTGTAAGCTAAGAAGTTTGTACTCTAGGCTGCAGTTTCCTTCCATGAGGCAGGCTTTTGGGGTAAGGCCTTTGGGAAGATCAAAGCTGTTATCTGTCGGGCAGCAAACAGAGGAGAACACAGAAGGGCCAACTAAAAGGGGATGAGCAAAGGCATGGGCTGAGGGGCGGAAAAACATTGGCGATACTCTAGTTCTTAATCAAAATCCATTTGTAAGGTCTCACGGACAAAACCAAAGGGGAAGGATTGAGGGGGGAGGGGGGAGGGGGAGGGGGAGGGGGAGGGGGAGGGGGAGGGGGGGGGGAGGGGGCAGGTGAAGGTGGTGGAGGGAGGCAGAGACAAATGTATTTGAAAAAATAAAGAAAATAAATTAAATGACAAAAAAATCCATTTGTTTTCAAGTTGGGAGGAATGTTACCCTACAAAGGAATAAAAGTATGCAAAGGAAACACCCAAAGTGCAATATTAAATAGTTCTGGTTAACAAGTAACTTGATTTTTTTGTTGTTGTTTTTCACTTAAGTTCACCTTATACTCCAGGAATCCCCCAGTCCCAGCCCAGTCACTTTGTAAACAAGAACAAACCAATACTCAGTGCAGCTTCCTATAGGACCTGCCTGAATCATAAAAGCACTGAATCACCTGTACCCAGATGTTTTCCCAAAACGTTTCAACATTCTAAGTTTAGCCCCTGAATTTTAAGTTTCTAACTTTAAAGACCCAGGTAAATGGAGAAGGCTTCATCATTTTCAATACTTCTGCAAATGAGTAAGTGATGACAATAAAATGTATATGACAGTGCAGTTTTCACGTATACACGGCAATATGCTTTGCTGTAACTCCAGAGGTAAGTCACTTTCTTTAATTTAATTCAAATTCAGCGATTTGTTCTTTCACAATTTCTTTGTGAAAAGGAGAAAAGTGAGAATCTGTCTTTTACAGCAGGTCTTCAAATTTCCCAGGGAAATAAAAACTTCCCATGGAAGGCTAGCTACCCAGGCAGCCCCAAACAGCGGGGGTCGGTTAGCATCACAGCAGCGCGTTCTCAGCATCCCCCAGCCCCGCATCCTCAGAGGCCAGCTCAGCCAGGGAGATTCCACCCCGCGCAGGACGAGTGGAGCACACCCAAGGCAGCGCACCCGCGGAACTCGGTAGCGTGAAAAATTTGGCACCCGAGCACCACCCCGGTCGGCTCTCGGGCTGGTCCGTTCTAGGCTGGCAGCCTCCGACCTGTGTGGCCGCCAGTGTTAAGCTCGGGGTGGCAAGGAAGGGCCCGCAAAGCCAAGGCCCTGAGGTCATTTGGCCGAATAAAGGTCAGGGTCAAGCATTCCATTCGTAAATCTGCGTGGCGCCCAACTGGCTTAACAAACTAAGCTAAGCGCTGGTTACACGGGGAACCCAGAGGGATCCTGCCCTGACTTCCATATCCGAACCGTCCACCGTGCCAGAGCAGCTGCAGGCCCGGGTGGGTCTGAACGCCGATCCCAAAGAGGGAACTCCAAAGGCTGAAGGTGTTGCAAAAAAAAAAAAAAAAAAAAAAAAAAGTGAGGTAGAAGGTTCTACGCTGCGGCTCCTACCTACTCCTCCCCACCTTGAGCCACCAACTAGCTAACTCCACGGTTCCCATGGGACCAGCCGGGGGGAAGTCACCGGTGAGTGCGAAAAGCTCCTTAATGACTTTCTGTTTGCAAAGAAGCCAGCCCAGGGGAAGGAAGGCTGAGCCCTCTGGGTACACTTTAGACTCGAACACTCCATTTCCTTCCCTGCCTTACCACCGACTTCAGCCTCTCCGGGTTGTGCCATTCGGCTGCCCTCGGGGCACTGGAATCCCCCCATCAAAGCCACCCAGACAAGGCTGTGGGATGTAGGGGAGGTGGTTGGCGGTAGCGAAACACTCTTCGCGCACTTGTCCCGCTCCCACCACCTGCCTATGGTGCCACGGACCCAGGCTCCTTAGTGGCACGAGCCCTCCTCGGCCAAGTTGCTCACCTGGGACGGTGTGATTGCAGGAGACAGAGGCCGCCAGCAGGATGGTGCCCCCCAGCAGCCACACCGCGCTCGGCCTTCGCATCCTTCCAGCAGTCCCGTCGCCCGGCGGGCGGGGAATTCGCCGGAACTAACTCGAAACTCAGACCTCCACTTGCTGCTCGGGGAGAATGCTACCCTTTCACCTGCCCCCAATTGTAGCTTCTGCGCTCCTCCCCAGAGCCGGCTTAGTTTCAGAGAAACCTTAGCCGCTCGCCGCACCTGAGGGAGGCCACGCCCCTTGGTCCCGCCCCTGCGTTCGTCCCGAGCCCCTCCCCTAACCACCCGGCCAGGCGCTAACCCCCATCCTGTTCCAACTTCCCCCGCGCCCCCGCGCGCCTCGGGGCGCTCCCGGGTCCAGGTGCCGGAGCCGTAGTGCCTTGACTGCCCGAGGCGCCCGCGGGCCGGATAGGCCAAGTGAAGTGGCCTTACTGGAATGCAAATGGCAGGAACGCTGGGACCGAGGGTTCCTCCAGGCCTGGGCAACGCCCAGAGCTGCCTTTAACCTTTAATTACTCCTGAGAAGACAGTGTCTTCTATCTTTCTACCACTCCTTTCCTAAATGGCAAAAAGCCAAGACTCGAGCTCACTGCGGTGATCGTCGGTAATTGGTAGAGGCTTCCCGGAATGGGCACTTTGGATGAGGGGTGGGTTTTTAATCTGCAACGGCAAAATGGACCGCTGCATAAGCCAACGAAAGCGGTGGGGAGCAGGAAAGGTTCCCAGCTGGAGAAGTCAGGGATCTGGAATGAGCTTTCCGTTCTGCTGTTAACTAGCTGTGACTTCCAACAAACCTCCTCACCCCTTCCAGGCCCATTTTCCCGTCTAGGAGGTGGAGGGAGAGAAAACACTTGGAATAGCTACTTTAAATGTCAAGTGCTAAGTGACTTCAGAGTTCTGTCTAGTTTAATCTCCACAGCAGCCTGTGCAATAAGTGTGATTATTATTCCCATTTTACAGACAAGGAAATGGAGCTTAGAAAGGTTGGATAAGGTTGCCCACAGTTACACAGTTATCGGTACAGGATGTAAATACCCACCACATTTAAACTCCAGCCTATGCCTACCACTTTCTTCTATTAATCACTGCACTATAAATGCTTCCACTAGCGCCTCTTTCACATTGGGATCTCAGACCAAACAAAAGTATAAGCAAATAGAGGGGTGGGGAGAGAAGGAGTGTGAGATTGGTGATTGGTGCACAGGGCCTTCATCATATTGGTAATATCTTACTTTTTTACTTGCTCTCAAAAATAGTTTACTGTTATCCATTTAAATTACTGGGTAGTGGAGGAGCAGAAAAGAGAAAGGTGGAAGCCACAGTGAGAGGCCGATTTTGGTTCAATGGAGAAAGATTTCTAGTAAGTCCCACTCATCCCAGTCCTGAGGGCTGCCTGGTGAGGCGGAGGGTCACATCACTGCTTGGCTTGCAGCAAAGGACAAGGGCATCTGTCCAGCATGTTGGAGAAGGAGTTCCCTCCCTGGCTCAGAGGCGATACTGGGTGAGTCCAGATAGCCTCATAAGAGGTTTGAACCTTGAGAGTCCATGGTCCTCCCGAGAAAACCAAAGTTTGGTTAGTCAGTTGCCTGTGGCCATCATTTATTTTTGAACGGCCATTAACTGGATGGCCACAGTCAGGGCCATGAGTGTGAAGGGTGGAGCTTATATCTGATAAAGGCCCTGTGTCCTGCGTGTGACATCTTACTAAACCTACCACAGGGCCAATTAATAAAACTAATGTGGGTTCCAGATACTTCAGGCAGAAAAAATTGTACAGAATGTCACGTTAGCCAGTTGTTTAACCATATCGCCAATAACACATTTCCCCAAAGTTATCTCTTCCCTCTGTCCTGACAGAGGAGCTCACAAGAGGAGACAAATAAATAGTTGAAAAATGAAGAGAAGCAAATGGCCTTGAACATGCCACAAAAGTGGAATAATTGCTCCCTGAATAACGGAAATGGACTGCCTCCCAACACACACACAGACAAGAGTGGCCAGGGAAAGCTGTCCAGTGAGTGAGACCATTCTTTTTAGTGGCTGCCTTTCTTAGTCCCACCTCCTAGGCATCTCTCAGTGCTGTATCTCAAGTGAGTTCTTTTGGGAATGTGGGAAGAGCTTAGCCTTTGAAATCATGTAACGCTTTGGGCAAATTCTGGTTTCTTCCCTTACTAACATCTGTGTGACCTTGGAGAAATCACTTTCCTCTCTATGCTTTAGGTACCTTACCTACAAAATGGAGTTTTGCAATAGCCTAGGCCCTCTTTTCCTCCCAGGAAAAGTTAACTTCTAGAAGCAGCACTGGAGACTTCCTCATCCAGTCCAGGGGAGAGTTCTCCTGATGCAGATCAGTTTGCTACTGAGAGTACCGCCCTAGAAGAGATAATCCCTATTGTGTCCCCATAATCTTTCTAAGCTGCCATTTCACCATCTGTGAGCTATTACTATTACATCTAAAATCTGGGGATAATCACAGTACTTTTCCTATAGGGTGGCTGTAGGGATGTATGTTAATCTAAATGCCCATTAGTACTCAAGAAATGACACCTATTATAAAATGACTCTTTTAAGGGAGGAATCTTCCTCTTTTCAGAGGACAATGCAACAAGACCCAGCTGTTTTGGGCTGAAATTTTCACTGGTAATTTATATGCCCCAAATCATCAAAATTCCCAAGAAAATATGTTTTTGAACAATGTTATGAGTTAATTATCTCAAGAATGACCATGTTGCCCTGACCCTGACCAGTGTGGCCCAGCTGATTGGGCATTATTCTGCAAAGCGAAAGGTCACCAGTTTGATTTTCAATCAGGATACATTCCTGGGCTGCAAACTTGGTCCCTGGTCAGGGTTCATAGGAGAGGCAAGTGATCAATGTTTCTCTCTCTCTCTCTCAACACTGTTCCTGAATTAAGAGATATATTTAATTCCATTACATGAGTCCAAAAACGTATTACAAAAATCAGAGATCTTGCCAGGAATATGCTGTGCCCTTTCTACTCATCTACCTACTTGCAAGCATTCAAGGAAGAAAGAATCCACCCACTTACAACGAAGACAACCACTGCATACATAAAGGAAAACAAGGAAAAAAATGTATTACCATTAAGACAGGAACTCTTGTCTATACCATTCCCTCTTGACTCTACAGCACCAAAACCATACCCAGCACAAAGTAGTTGCTCACTAAATACTAACTGAATAAATTATTCTTTGAAGAAATAATTTTGGGCAACCCAAACAAAATTATTTTCAATGTTGATGGTTTTCTTAAGGTTTGGAAGAGTTCCATTATTTTACATTTTTCCCAACTACTCTTATGAACAAATACCTCAAGAAAAAGAAAGAAAAGAGTATTTCTTTTACATTATAAGATTATATTGTCCTAATTGAGCCCAAAACAGGAGCCTTGGAACAAAAGCTTTCTATAAAACAGTTTCAATAAAATTTTATTAGCAGTTATTATGTCAAAATTCACATTTAAGGATCCAAAGGACTATATTAGGAAATTCTAAAGCATATGTAATTAGATTTTAACAGTAAGATAGAACATAATCTTATTATAGCATAGCCCTTAAAAAGTCAGGAATAATACAGACAATTAAGTACAGTTCTGTCAAACTAGAAATGAATTCTGCATGCACAGTGCTACTTGAAGCAAAGTTCCATGACCGTATAACATATTTCTGTGGATGTGAATTTCAGTGGCAATATCATTGGCTCCCAAACAACTGACAATAAAGGAATTTTCAATCACACCACAAGCGTAGTGGCTTTCATTAAATATAGAGCTATAACAATTCTATAAAAAGACCCTGAATCTTTAAGTATTTGTAATATGACTTTATGCTGTGACACTAGTACAAAACACATCAACTCTAATGCGTAGAGTCAGACACATGATGACAATAGGATCCTAAAGGTAGCTTTTACTATCAAAAAAATGCTGTTTTCCAGTGTACTATAGGCTAGTCATTGCTGATCTAGCAAAATTCTACAACCCTCCAGCTTGAGCAGTAGCATAGGATTCAAAAATATTACACTTCATGCCTAATATATGGAATTGGACTGTAGATCTTCCATTGCAATCATTGCAGAGAATTATCTAGTCATGTTCTGATATTCTGACGGCATAGGAGTCTGTGTTCCCTCATCATCCAGTTATCTCCAGTACCTAGTCATATCTACAGCAGAGTGCATACGTAATTGACCTTTGTAGCCTCCTTTCAACATTTCTTCATAAACATGTTCTATCTAAAAGATGTCCACATGGCAAGACATGGGCAACATGAGATGTGCGAATGTCCTCCAAATATATTGGACAGTTCTGCTGAGAAACATTTTCAATATACTTGTGCTTTCTTTGGAGATTCATACTTAGGCATAAGTTACATTTCAAACAGTGAAAAAAATCTTCCTTTGTACCAATCCTACAAATCCCACAGTTTTCCCAATGATATTGTTTCTTGTCTTTGTCAAACAGATGGCATATACTGCAATGATAGTCTCCAAACAATGTGCAACATTCTTCACAAGTCTGTTGGGCATGTTGAATTTTTCACAGTTTATGGGCTGCACTTCCTTTACTTTAAAATGATCTAGCTGATGATCTTCCTTGTTATCATGACACAACTGGCAAGTATACAACTCGTCACAGCAAGGTGCCTTCAGAGACATAATCTGTCATAATGCTCACAGCCCTGCAGCCTTTGCTCTGGGTCTCGGGCGCCACCTTCCTACACCAAGGCCGCCCTCTCCTCTGCCTCCCCTTACATTTCAAGGACCCTTCTCCTAGGATGAAAACTATGCCCAGAGAAGCAGTGTCACCCTAGCATACCCCCTCCTGGAGATGTTTCTCTCTCACATTGATGTTTCTCTCCCTCTCTTTCTCCTTCCCTTCCCCTCTGTAAAAATAAATAAATAAAAATTATTTTTTTAAAGAATGACTATAACCCAGCAGTCTGACTATATGATCTACATTCACTTGAATTAGTTTTCCTGTGACTTTGGGACTACAAGATTTATTCTTTAGATGTTGATGATTCCT